TATGTTATTTATATGTTGGTATATGTTATATTACATAAATGTTATATATAATTTATTATCTTATCATATATTATGTTGTTTATATTATTATATAAATGTGACAATGTTGGTTCCAAATTCAGTGTAAAGGGTAACTAACCTTCGGCAAAGCTAGAGTCTAACATTTTACTCGTTTTATAAATACTTTGATTCCATTTCTTTTCATATTTTTCCTTTTTGCTTGTTCGTCTTAAACTGCTGATTGTTAATAAATTTCGTGTGAAAAACGATTTAATTGTGTTTGCGGGATCAGGTTTAACTTTTGTTATATGACTACGAAATAGTGTATACAAATTTAATGAAGATGTGAATCTTATTAATCATTATAACTTATTGCTGTTCTTCGCTCCTAGTGGAGCATCACTATAACAACCATGCCTAATTAGCAAACTGCTTTATATTGACTACTTCATTATTGTCTTGAAAAAAATTGTGCTGCATATATTTTATATATTAAGTCTACCAAATGCTTAGAGAGGAATGCTTTAAAAATGGTTGACCTTTCATATCAGCAACACATATTTTTTCGTATTCTGTTGGTTATTACAACCGTATAAAGAGACAATATTCCCCTAATCTACAAATATGAACTAAAAACACTTTAACTTGATATAGAAACGTTTTTAAAAATGTTTAAGAATGTTTTGAATATGAAAGCCATTTGAAATCTGAAATGATTTACGCTTTGTGCCGATTTGCACCATTTACACAAGTTCCAATTAGTCATGTTTACAATGTAAACAAATTTCAAAGAATCAGAAATGAATCGCAGCACTTAACCACACCCGACGGACGGCAGGCGACAGTATTCATTATGGAAATTGTTGATTCCTATAATGCTTCACACATCATCAATTGCAAATAACAAATTTGTTGTTGCTGCTGCTGTTGTAAATGATGCATACTGATGACAATCCATGACATGGCGCTGTGGCTGGCTTATCTATTTGAATTAATATAAAATAAAAACAACGAAATGATAGGGAAAAGCAGGAACAAGGGAGTAAGCAGTACATCAGTACATTACAAACATAAAAAGGAAAACATTGGCACTGATAAGAAAAATTCCAGAGTAGAAGCGCGAACGCCTTTTGATAACAAACGAACAGCAGCGTCATCGCGGGTACAAAATCCATAAGCTACACACCAAAACTCAGAAAAGAAAAATAAGCGAAGGGAATTCCTTTGATACTGAAGCCACCAAAATAGATAAAATTTTATTTTTAGTAATTTTTATTTATCTCATTTAAGAGATAAGACCCATGGCGCAATATTTGTTTTGCTTAGATTCAGATACGTTGCTCTAATCTGGAAGCACGTTTGTTGCCATTTGGTTCTGTTGGAATTTTTTTATTTACTATTTACTATTACGCTCTCAAGACTTTGTTTATTTACAAAATGCGTTCTAAATTTCATTTTATAAATATTTTCTTTAGCAGATATGCTCTTCAAGTGTTATTTAAACTTCGTGGGAACTGATTTTAGGTACAGCAAACTGAATGTTCCCCATTAGGAAGCATTGAAAATTAATAAAATTGTAAGTTTGAGTTAAATTTGCAACAATTTTTATGTATTATGCGCTTGTAATAATGCTCAGAATAGGGATACATTTCTTAATTTAAATGAGAAATAAAATTCATGCTACACAAAATCTGAATTTGCGAAGTAAACAAAAGTGTAGGGAAAAAATCAAATATTTCAATTTGAAAAGAAAAAGATTTTTTTACACCCGGCGACCGACCACCAAACGAGCCAGCATATTTCCAACGGTTATTGCCCTCTCAGATTTCATTGCAACGAAATTGATTAAAATTGATTAAAAGCTAAGTAAAATATGAGCCAACAATCAATCCGAAAGGCTGAAAAAAACAAGCATCGATTCCCAATAGAATAGAAAGTAAAGCATAGGAGAAATGTACGAAAAAAAAATCAATGATTTCAGATACTTAAAATGCTGAAAGATAGAAATATGAAATTTTGTTAAAAAATCGTTTGAAGTGTAAAATTGTTGATATTAGATGAGTGAATTTAAATATTTATGTGTCTTATTTATGTGATTGACACTTTGAAGACAATTTGAACGATTTAACACAGTATAGACAAAGCTTCGCAGCTTATAAATGACTCTTATGTATTTATATATATTTTATATATTTATATTTTATTTTTTGACTCCGTAAAATAAAACGGAATGTATCGCATAAGATACAACCGTAAGCTAGAACGGCTAGCTGATACAATCGCTAAATTTATGAAAAACAGCAATTAAGATGGGTTGGACATGTGATAAGAAGAGTACCGCTTAAGATTTATGAGAACGCAATAAGAACCAACAGAAATAGAGGGCGCCAAGAAAACGATAGAAAGAGAGTGTGCAGCAGGATTTCGAAGAAATGAACATAAATTGGAAAACAAACGCAAAAAACAGAGAAGAATGGAAGGATGTTGTAAACAGGCTTATCTCCTACATGGACTGTATAGTCACAGATGATGATGATATATATTTTATATATTTATGTATATTTAATATATTTTTATATATTTTATGTATTTATATATATTTTATATTTTTATATATATTTTATATATTTATTGATACGGACAAATGGAAAACCATCTGGCCATAGTTGAGTATGCAATTACAAAGGTTAAAAATAGAAATAAATGGGGTACGGAGCGAAGCACCACTGCGACCATGGTTGATCTTTTGTGCTGCAACAGACCCTAAGCGAACAGAAGACATTCCGCCTTCCGTATGAGAGCCAGATTGTCGGTAGGGGAGATTTGTTCTCGACCTAGTGACCTCCTCCTGACCCAGATCAAGGTTTGGGCAGTCACAGAGAATCTGACTGGACTCAATCTCAATTTCTACCCTAATATCAAAGATTTACATCATGAATAATGCGAATTACTTAAAAAGAGATATAATAACCATCCCGTATGGATCTCTAGATCACATACAACATAGATGAGAGCGTTGGATGAGCAACTTTTTCATTAACGATTTAAAGATTTACCGAAATTGTGACTTCTGTATATCAAAGAGGTTTAACTGCATGCGAAAACAAGTCATAAACTACTTTAAAGTTCACTGAATTATAGCGTTTGTACACTAAGAAGATCCTCTTCTCCTCTTATATAAATATATCTATGTGGGATATATTCAGTAAAACGTGCAAATTTTATACCATAAACCTCAAACAACAGTCGTTACCATTAAATTCGTAAATCACGCTGTGAAAAAAAAACAAAAGAAAACAAATTTTGATTAAAGCTGAACTGTAAGCTAGAGAATAAAATATTGATGGGAATATTTGATAATATATTTTTATTAATTTGAATATATTTGTAGGAATACAAATATTTATTACTTAAGAAAACTCCAAATAACAATAGAAAAGTAACTACTCTTATATAAAATCAGTATAGAAGCAATAGGAACATAGGGGATCCAATTATGGAGCTCAGCTGTTAAATTAAATATGGATATCAATCAACGTTTCCAATCAATAGTCGTTAGAATCGTAATTAACGCAGCTTAATACATTAGTAATCAAATTTTTAAATTGTTTATTTCGTGCTCCAAACATTCTGCTGTTCCTAATATCGTCTACCCCAATACTAATCGTTGCGCGCACTTCTCGAGTTTACTTATGTTTTCGTTGAGTCATCTCTGATATAATAAAGTCTAAATGCTATAAGTTTCCTCTATCCTTAACTATTTGAAACCACATAAAATTTTTGTGACTTACCCCGTTTATTCGATCATATATTGAAAACAAAATTTTAACTATAGTCATTTATGTCTACTAATCGTTTCTTATTCTTTTATTATGTACTTTACCGAATTATATACACTGTTAGTGTTTTCTAGAAATTCTAAGGATTAGTGGGACTTGATTCGTTGTGATTTAGTTGCAATAGGGACTACATCCAAAATTTAATTAAAGCGTTTTGCACTTTTATTTTGTTAAGGAAGCTGACCATGCTCTTTGTAATCTATTACTGTTGCTTCCAACTTTTCAAAAACTAATTGTTAAGTTCAAAATATAACGTTTGGATACTTGACAATTAAACGCTCCATTGTGTCTTCGTATTCACAGCATTTCCTAGTAGAACTTATGTTCGAATTATACCAAGTGCTTAAAAATTAAGTTAAACTTCTAGGCTTATTGTAAAGTTTACTCATATTTAACTATGAGCGATTGTATGATGAGAGCACAAAAAAAAACTAATTCAAAGTTTTTTCAATACTACCTTTTGGCTTTTAGTTACTGAAAAGTTTTCTCACCCTTTATTTTCAAGCCCAACTAACGAATGGTATTAACCATAGAGAGCAATAATTTTATTACTTTTACTTTATGTGAAGCCCTCTAAGGTTGATTTTGTTGTTTTGTGCCGATAAGCAACATAAATGGCACAACAATAACAAAAATATTAACGTTAATAACTAACATATTTCGCGCTTCTTTCCATTCAGGCCAAAACAATAATCAATAATAAAGAATCACTGCTTGGGCACATTGATTATGCATGCAAGATACTCTATTTAAAACGTTTAATAGAAAATCAAAATTCAAATTAGAGCCACATACAATGTGCCCATATCGATCTCGACGATATGTATCAGATATGCATAAAGGCCCGAGCAAGCCAACCCGAAAACGGTGTCAGCCAATAAAACTGTCATAAAATTTTTAATTTATGCAAAACACAAAACCAATAGAAACAATAACAAAAGCAAAGCGTTTGCCTATTGCGAATGTGTTATTGACGGGCGCGAGTTCCTCGGGTTGCTTGTCTTTTCTCTTTAAATAATTTATAAGTTATACTTTATGGATTATTATGACTTTCTTGCTGCTTACACTACCACGTACTAGTGTAAGGTCGGTCTTCTGCCTTGCCTTAGTTTGTCACTGACTCTCACTAAATGGTTTTTGTTTTTCTATTTTCACTTGTAGCGATTCGGCAAAGAATCTTGGCTTCACAGTCATTATTGATATGCGCGGCAATGGTAATTGTTCCACCAATGTGAAGACAATACTGAAGGTGTTGCAAGAGCATTTTAGTGCTAATATACACAACGTCGTTATAATAAAACCGGATAATTTTTGGCAGAAACAGAGAGCTTCAATATCTTCGCACAAGTATAAGTTTGAAACTTCAACAATTTCAATTGAAGCTCTCAACAAGATTGCCGAATCTCATCAGTTAACATCGGATTTTGACGGTACACAAATGTACGACCATCAACAGTGGACTGAGGCGCGCTTAGCCATTGAAGATTTCTTTTGGCAGGCAAGTGATTTGGCTGATCGCATAGATGATCTGCAGGAAGACTTACAACGCAATGACTTCGCTGAAGATGTTAATGGTGCTAGGCACTCACTCGATCATCACAACGAAATGAAAAAGAAAATACTCAAACTGCCCATCGAAGATTTAGACATCCAAGGTAAAAAACTGCTGGCTAAAATAAATATGGGTGCTGCGGGTAGTTGCAGTGGAGGACAAGTGAGTTTCTACATTACTTTCAGTGACTAAAATATTTTTATTAACATTCTTATTTTATTTTAGGGTGGCAGTGGTGGTGGCGCAGACTGCGGTGGCAGTGATTCAGGTACTTCAACACAAACACAAAATTCCTCACCGGCATATCGTGTTACAACTAACAATCCAGATATGTCGGCAGCTATAAGCAAAGCTTTACGCCAAATTGACCTCATACATACTGGACAGCAGCGCTTGCTCACCCTATGGCAGCATAAGAAAGCGAAACTGGACCAGTGCTTTCAGTGGCGTCTCTTCGAACAAGACTGTGAAAAAATGTTTGATTGGATACTGCATAACCGTGACGTATTTCAAATGTCTTACGTAGAAATCGGTCACAATTATTCGGTGGCCAAGTCATTACAAGATGAACATCAGAAGTTCTTTGTTGCCTCTATGAACGTGTCTGTGAACATAGATCGTATACTTGAGGTAGCACGTCTTATTGAAAACCAACACTACGCTGCGCAACACATAAAAACCTTATCAACTCGCCTTGATCGCACATGGAAGGACTTCGCTGCTGGCTTAGTAGAGCGTACGGCTGTGTTGCAGTTAAGTGTACTATTTCATCACAAAGCTGAACAATACTGCAATAGTGTTTCATCTTGGGCAGCAGCATGTCAAGCATCACAGCCACTACCTTCGGATATACAAAGTTTAGAAACAGCAATACGTACACATCAATCTCTGTACGAAGCCATGTGCCAAGCGTACACTGAAGTCCACTCAACGAGCAAGAAACTGTTGTATCAGTTGGATCATTTGGTACAAGTATGTAATCAACCACCACCTCCGGGTGTTCCAGATCATCGCAAAAATAGCAGCTTTAACAAATACGAAAGACAAAACCCTGCAGCTGATTATAGCGAAGGTGCATCACATGTGTTAGATGAGATACATCGTATACTAGGTCATCACAGATCTCTGGAAGCCAAATGGCATCAGGAAAAAATACGACTGCACCAGACTTTAGCATTGCGACTATTCCAGGAAGACGTGAAACAAGTTTTAGATTGGTTGAAAAATCATGGTGAAGTATTTCTGCGCAAAAATACCGGCATTGGACGAAATTTACAAAAGGCACGCGTTTATCAGAAATCTCATGAGCATTTCGAAAATGTAGCACAAAATACTTATAGTAATGCAGAAAAGTTGTTATCGGCTGCCGATGAGTTGGCACGAAGCGGTGAGGCAGACCCTAATGAAATTTACTCTGTTGCAAGAGAATTAAGCATGCAGGTTGATAGTTTCGCTGAGCGTGTTGAACAAAGGCGACGACGTCTTGATATGGCTGTTATATTTTACACACATGAAAAAGAGGTACTTCTTTTTATATATAATTGTGGGTTTATCTTATTTTTAATAAATTATTATTATTAACAGGTGACTGCTTGGATAGATCAGTTGCGCACTGATGTGTCTACTGATGAAACCATGTTATCACAAGAAAATCTAGAGGGTATTGAACGCTTATTGCAACAGTATCGTGATCAACAAGAAAGCACTATTAATGGTTGTATGCAAACTATTGCTCAGGGTGAAGCTTTACAGCAAGAGATGCGTTCGTTGGAGTATGTCGATAACACTGGATCGATTTCAGCATTAGAAACAACACTCGAAAAACTTTCCAAACAAAAAATAGAACTAGAAGAGTTATGGACAGCGCGCAAATTTCGCGCAGATCTAATATTACGTTTAAGATATTTTGAGCGCGATGCAATGGAACTTTCATCACAATTGGAAATTTGGTCTGAAGAACTACAGCATGCTGATCTATCACGTGATTACCAGAAAGCTGAACAGTTAATACGAATGCATAATGAATCCGTTACGGATATACAAAATGCTACTTATGAAGTTTTACAACAAGGTCAGGATCTGTTGCAAATGTTTGAATCAGCTGGGTTTATTTTAATGGCCGACGCAACACACACTGCGCAAGCACGTATAGAATATTTATTGGACTTCTTAAGAGATCGTGAAATCGATTTGGAAGAACTGTCTGAAGCCAAACGCGCCAAATTAGAACAAGCTGTGCAACTGTGTCAGTTTCAAAATGATGCAAATCAAGTGATTTCTTGGATACGCAATGGAGAAGCCATGTTGGTTGCCAGCTTTGTTACACCTAACAGTTTGCAAGAAGCAGAACAACTACGTAAAGAGCATGAACAATTTCAGGTATTTAAATTTGATTTTTTTTTGATCCTCCTAACAATATATGTATAATATTTTTATTTTCTTTTTTAGGTGGCTATTGAAAAAACGCATACTTCTGCCGTGCAGGTCAAATATCGTGCAGACGCACTTATTAATGCCAATCACTATGATCCACAATCTATACGTGAAATATCAGACGATGTAACTAAAAAGTGGCAGCAACTGGTTACATATGCTGAAGAGCGTCATAAACTCGTGACTGCGTCGATTAATTTCTATAAAACTGCTGAACAGGTGTGCTCCGTGCTTGACAGTTTGGAACGTGAATACCGTCGAGAAGATGATTGGTGTGGAGGTGGTGGTTCCAGTGATAAAGCACAAACTATTGTTCAACTTATCGCGAAGCATCAAGAACAAAAGGAAGCTTTCCTTAAAGCTTGTACTTTAGCGAGACGCACAGCAGAAACATTCCTAAAATATGCAAACCGTTCACAGCAATATTATAAATATCAAAATCAAGGAAACTGTGAAAATAGAGTCAAAACAATATTAGATAAATTACTAACGCAAGAAAATCAAGTTTTGGAGTTTTGGACACAACGAAAAAAATCATTGGATCAATGCCAACAATTTGTATTGTTTGAACGTAGTGCAAAACAAGCCATTGAATGGATACATAACACTGGTGAAGCTTACCTCTCATCACGTACTAATTTGGTTGGTAAGACACGAGAAGAAACTGAGGGTTTACTGAAAGAACATACAGAATTCCGTGGAACTGCTAAAGAAACGAGAGAAAGAGTCAAATTACTTATACAACTGGCTGATAGCTTAGTAGAGAAAGGTCATGCTCACGCTAGCTCTATTAAACAGTGGGTAGCATCTGTTGACCAAAGGTTTGTTAATTTTTCTCATTGGTCAACATAAAGTTTACATTTTTTTTTTCAATTTCAAGGTTCAAAGATTTCAGTAACCGCATGGATACTTACCGCGAACAGCTTGAAAAGTCGTTAGGGATGTCAATAGTTGCTGAATCTGATGCAAATATTTCAATTTCGAGTGGTAAGTTCATAATAATATAAAGAAATTGTATAATATTAATAAACATTAATTTTAAATATTTACAGGTTCAACTAATGATCGACACTCAGATCCTTCATTAGAAGCAAAATTAACAACTTCTGCCACTGCAGCTTCCAAAGAAATCAACGAAGAAAAGCGTAAATCGGCAAGACGAAAGGAATTCATTATGGCCGAGCTCATGCAAACTGAACGTACTTATGTCAAAGATCTTGAAACATGTATAAAATGCTTTCTCGAAGAATTTCGAACTGGTCATGGTGTACCGGCTGCACTTATTGGCAAAGAAGATATCTTATTTGGCAATATGCGTGAAATTTATTATTTCCATCAGAAAATATTTTTGCGTGCACTTGAGAAGTATGAAACAATGCCAGAAGATGTTGGACATTGTTTTGTAACTTGGGCATCTAAATTTGATATGTATGTGCATTACTGTAAAAACAAACCAATTTCAAATAATTTATTGGTGCAACATTCGGGCACATATTTCGAAGAATTACAGCGTAAACATAAAGTCGAACATCCATTACCAGCTTTTCTCATAAAACCTGTACAACGTATTACAAAATATCAATTGCTATTGAAGGATTTATTATCATGTTGTGAAGAAAGTCATGGTGAAATTAAAGAGGGCTTGGAAGTTATGTTGAATGTGCCCAAAAAAGCAAATGATGCCATGCATTTGTCGTTACTTGAAAACTGTGACATTTCTACAGATAATTTGGGTGAGGTAGTCTTGCAAGATGCATTCCAAGCTTGGGATACAAAACAAATAATACGAAAAGGACGCGAGAGACGTGTATTCTTATTCGACTTATACTTACTTTTTGCAAAAGAAGTGAAAGACTCAAATGGTTCTGTGAAATATCAATTTAAAAGCAAATTAATGACAATAGGTATTAATTTTTATATATTATTATTCAATTATTTTATATAAATAATTATGTATATAAAGTAAATTATATAAAGCTATAGAATTGACAATTATCAACTAATAAACTGAATTTTTAGCTGTTTTAATTTTAATTTTAACAATTTTTAAACTAAAAAATGAACAATTATAAGTTTATAAAAATTATGTATGCTCGATGAAGTTTAAAATCAGTTTTAGCTAAAGGTCAATTTTTACATTAAAAATTCTCTTTAATAAACAGTTCTATTTGTTCTTAATTTATAATTAATTTATAAAAATTATTTCAAATACAGTAAAATTATATTAATTCGATTTAAAATACATTATAATTATTATACTATTTTTATTTAATAAAGATATGGGAATAACAGAGCATATTGAAGGTGATGAAACAAAGTTTGCCGTTTGGACAGGACGTTCACCTATGTTGTCAGATTGCCGTATTGTACTTAAAGCAACTAGTTTAGAAACAAAGCAGGTTTGTAGTAAACTTTAGTAACTATTATTCTAATTGAAAATTGTTGGAACTTATCCTTGTTTTCTGTTATTCTTTATTTATTTATTTGTATGTGTATATTAATTTTTTATTTTTTTTTTTCAGGTCTGGGTTAAGAAACTACGCGAAGTCATGCAAGAAACATGTTTTTCTGGTACTTCACTTACATTGCCCAAATCACCAGCTAAGAACTCTGGTTCGTCTCAACGCTCTTCAAGAGATCTAGATGAGCCATTAACTGAAAATGATCATGACAGATGCTCATTGGCCAGTTTTGGATCAGGCAATACTACAGATAGTGATAATAAGGTAAGTTTTATAAATAAACATAGTTTTATGTTGAGTTAAGAAAAATTACAAATATAATACAATTTAGAATTATATTATTCATGAAAGTAGTAATCGTAAAATGAAAGGATTTAATTGAAATTACTTACCTATACAGTTCACAATAATTATATTCGATTTTAGTAATTTTTTGTCTCCTACATTTTAAAATGTAATTTTTGAAAAGTCTTAGTAGTTTTTATTCTAAAGCTTTAAGAACTTTTTTTAATTAAACAAAAATCAACACTAAATGACATACTAGTCCTATCAGTTTAGCATAGCTTGTTATTTACTTTAAGTTAAAAGCATACAATGTACTGGTACAAGCTTATAATTCAATTCATTAAGAAAGTCCACTTAACAACAACAAAAATAATCTGCTTCTCGATCTATTGCTACATCTTATATAAGACGTCTTTACCTATTTATAGCTTTCGAATAAATTTTAACGTCTTTATAATATAATGGTTTATGACCAGCAAACTATAACTCGGGCCGTAAAACTTCTAAAACTCATTAGATGAATTTTAACATTTTTATAATATCGCGATCTTTGTTCAAAAAAATCCTTACGCGTACGGCACCAGCAGCTCTATAGCTCTTATGTTTTAGTTTCCAAACAAATGTCAGTGTCACTAATATCACGGGTTAGTCCAAAAAATCTGTACTTGAAACACACACGCTCCAAAGTTCTTTACAGCTTTAGATACATTTTAACAGATTTGTATATTACGAGCCAAAAAAACCCTAACACGGGCCGTAGAAGCAGCTATATAGCTCTTGATATAGCTTTTGGAAAAATTTCAACTTTACAATATTATATGTCTTTGTCCAAAAAATCTTAACTCGGGCTCCACAAACAGGGCTATAGCTCTTTATAATGTAGCTTTTGAATGAATTTTTTGTCTTTATGATATAAGGGTCTTTGTCCTTACTTGGAATGCATAAGCTCTAAAGTTTTTTACAGCTTTTGAACGAAACATTATTAAGTTTCTTAAAATGAAATTATACACGAAAGAATGAACTTAAAAAAGCTTTTGTAAGCATTTTTTATCTCTACAAACTTGGATATGCTAAACAACCATATAAAGCACAACACATTTCATTTAAACAAAAGCATAAATAAAGTGCAGAATCTCTAGCCCGTCCTACCTCACGTTGGAAATTGGTGTACTTAAATTTTTATTTTGAATTGCATATTCCAAACATGTGCCAGCGTTTTCTCTAACTCTCTCGGCACACTTACTCCCACCTCCATTGCTCTCTTGAAATTGCTCCTATGCTCAAGCATAAACTCATAAAGCTTTTAACAGTAAGTAAAGCAATCATCCCTAGTAAAGTCTTGAAAATTTATGTGCCCACTGCCGATACCAATGAACTAGTTTCTGCATCAGCAAAGGATAATCTACATTGATGAGCATTAGGGACGAGGGAAAATAATAGCAAAGTTGTTGGTGTCAAAACGTTTTGTGTTGAAAATTTTATGAGAACTTTTTATAGGTAAATTTCTGAAGTTAGTTATTCTATCCTGAAAACATAGCTGTATAGTTCTGGGTTAAGTTTGATGTGCACGGATTCCTGTTTGCATGAATAAAAGATTTTCCACATGTTTATAATTTGCACTTATGTAAAATTTGAAGATGCCAGGTGAAGGTTAAAGCAACACAACAAAAACAAAGTTTTTTCTAACTTTGTTGCGCTTTAATTATTCATAGGATTTTATGGATGTTGTAGGCTCCGTCATATGTTTTTATTATTTATATGTGCTCCATATGCGATATAAAACTGTCAACATAGGAACTTAAGGCACTAATGTCAATATTACTTAAATTTCATATTTGATGTCCTGTTTGGTGTGGTTTATGTAATAGTAACTTTATTTTTGCTTCCTATAATTAAATTTTTTATTACCTTAAGGATCTAGTAGCACTTGACTTATTTTAAGATTTTTACTACAACATAGTGCTAATTATAATATAAAATATATTAAAACATAAATCCTATAAATTAGCACAAGTCATGATTAACATAAGTAATTGTTAACATAAATAATGAGTAATGAAAGTGAAGAGAATTAACAATATTATATATTTTAAATCGAAATTATTTATTTTCTTTACTTGTGATCATAATCATAATAATATAGTAAAATTTTTAAATGTTATTCATATGATGAGATGTCACATACTAAAAAAAGAAAATTCTAATTTGATGATTCCATATCATTTTCCATAATAAATAAAAATTTTTACTATCCAATCAAAATGAAGTAATTGTATAAAATAATTTTATAGTTCTGAAGTGTCGTACGAGTAATAAAAATTTAATATTAAAATTAAATTTAAACATGTTTGTTAACCGTTAAAAATATTTCTATATAAATTTCCATTTTTAATATTAAAATAAGTGCAAATACATCAAGCAATTTCTAAATTTTATGACTAAATTGAAGTTGGTATTCATAATAAAATCAAGTAATGATAATTAAAAAACTATCCAATTCGTTTCTATAAAAACTAAAAAAATTAGGGTACAAGTTCAACACATGGTACCTGCAGTCTCAAAAACAATAAATTATTTACGAATAATTAAATATAAGAAATAATTCCAAGACCACTGATTATGGGTGATCAGCCAAAAATTCAATTAGTTAATGTTAACATTTTATTGTTGTAATTTACTACTGTTCGAAATATCTCTCTATTAAAATAACAGTTTCTATTAAGAAGCAGGGTTCCTTTCATCCTGATTGACTTTAAAAATTAAATTTAGTAAAATATTCTCATAATCAACATTATTTGTTATTAGAACCCGGTTAGGGTGAGAGTTTCCCTTACAATTCTTCTCTAATATCCAAAATTAATTGCTTTTAAATTGATTTAATAACTTTGAATAATCATAAATTTTTAATCTCCTTCTACTTTTAGCGATCGATTTTACAGTATTTTAAATAAGTTAGTGTTAATAATATTATATTGGGTGATATAAATATATTATCCGTGGTTGTTTGTCACTAGATGGTATGGGTATCCATATATTTGGCAACAATAATTCTGCTACTTTTCATGTCACAGTTTTTTTGTGAAGGCATTGTGTAAATACTCGATCATCTTAAAAGTTATATAGATTTAAAAATGTGAAATATATCTGAAGAAATATGCTATGTTTTGGGTAGCATATGAATTCATGCAAAGAAATTGATTGCCCAAACTTACATACCATCAGTGAAATGCCCCTGAAACCCAACGATATTGTGTCATTTTTAAAGCAAATCATTATGGACGATTAGTAATGGATTTAACACGGAGACGTTTAAAGCAAGCGATCTTGGTAAAAGGCCAATGACCTCCCATAAATATCTTGAGCGTCAGAATTGACGGCAAACAAGATTTTGTTGAATGTTCGGTGGTATTGAAAAGACTTGCTAATTACGATCTGCTTCAGCCTAGTGTAACACTTAACACCGCTACTGAAAATCGGACAGAATTGGCCAGTAGAAAAAAGTTATTAAAAACAAAAAGTGTTTAATCTTGACAATTTAAATCACTACACATCTTTGATGATTCGGAACAAATTGATGGAATTTGGTTGGGTTGTTTTGACGCATCTATCGCATTGCCCGGTTTTGACAAACTGATTAGCATATTTTTCGACATCTGCAAACCTCTCTTAATGGTAAAAAAAAAGTGGCCTACCGAAGAACTGTGTTTTAGTGTACAAGTGCCACTCTAATCTAACCTAACCTAATGACTAAATTAACTATATGTGGTTCTAACTTCCTTAAGTTTACTTGGTTATAATTTTATACACATATTAAAAGTTATAACAACACATGTTCATCATATATAATGCTTCGTAGTTCTTATATATCAACTAAAACTCATTTTATGGAGTTCGGCAATTTGTTTTTGTTGATTTCAGTAATTATTTTAAGAAGTTCAGAACTTCATTATTTAAGTCAAGTACTAAACTCCATGTTATTTCAAAAATTCAAAATTTCTTTAATAAAATTTAACTGCTAGAATTGATGGGCGATGGGCTATGTTATTTCAGTTAAATTGTTTAATGCTCTTCTACGCTCGAGAATGCCGCTTTAATGTTAACAATATTTGCATTTTTATTGAATAGTAAAAAAAGCTTAAAGCTAAAATTCACCATTTGAGCGGAGAGGGTTAAATAAATTTCTCAACTCCTAAGGGGCACTTCAAAATCCGTACTCTGCGCTCTTAAAAAAGAAATATTGTTATGAAAAAGCTTTCGTATGAAGTGTGCTTGCTTGTAGTGCTGCTCCTGCTGTGTTTTGTTACGTTGGGCTTTTTTTTTTTCCTCAAAATTCTTAAAGTACACAGCACTTGAGATACTCTGGTGCTCTCACGAGTTTATGTAGTAGCAGCAGCAGAAGCACACAAATACTGAATGCCTGCTGATTTTGTGCTTCTAATTGGCAATATTCCCAAAATTATCAGCTGCAACAATAAAGCAATAACAAAAACAACAGCGGAGATGGTGGCAGCGTTAACAACAGAGACAGCAGCAACAACAGCAGCAGTGGCAGCAGTAGCAGCAGAAAGTAGATTTTGTCGAGAACTAGAAAGACCTGTGCCTGACTGCTGCTCAGCAGCAACTTCCAGTTTTATTGCAGAGTCAATGCAAAAAGGTTCGCTTTCTCGTTAGAACGCTAGAACGCGTCTCAAACACAAACAGTCGAATGCAGTCTGGATAGTCGGTCGGTCGGTCTCTTAACGACTACAGCTGCTGTGTACTGCTAAAACTATTTTTCAAAGCTATATTATTCAAACTATTGTTCAAATTATTCTAACTATTGTATATTAACACTATACTGAAGCGCTACTATACTCTATTTTACTGATGCTAAATAAAATCTAAAAAAATTATATAGATACATTTGTTGTGAGAAAAGGTTTGAATGCGAAGAAGATTGTTTCGTTAGCATATGAATGTAACTATTTAAAAATATTAAA